AGCATTATTGTTCATTGAGAGAACTTATGCTGTTACCAGACCTTTTTCTTCCACTCAGTCATCACCCATATCGGTTAAATGACACATCCATACATCAGCTACAGCCACTGTATGCTATGGAAGGGTGGAGCATATCCCTGCTGATATTTGGTGAGATGGCACATCATGAACAGGTCACCTGCTCATCACAGGACTCACAAAGGCAAACAACAACGGTCACACTCACAGCCTGTTGACCAATTAACCTACCTGCTTTAAGAGGAAGCTGGAGCACCTGGAGAAAATCCACATAGATGCAGAAAGAACATCCAAACTCCACATAGAAAGGCTCCTCTCCCAAATCCAATCTGCACATCCCTTTAAGGTTTCCTTTCTCAGTTTCTGATCCTTTGATTGTTTGGAGCAGTGCCTCCTTTCATGACGTACACTGACGCGGCGAATCCTAGAAATAAACACAATCCTTTGTTACTGTCAGCAACATAGGATTTTCATTCACAGAGGAGCAGACGATCTGATCAGGAGATGGAGATGAACAACAGAGGATCTCCTTGCTTATTCGAGTTGTGGATTCTGCAGTGCAAGTAGCCTTCAACTAAGCTTCATAAAAACTTAGATGGTATGCACATTTATTAGATACTTTCTAAGATTTTAGTTGAAAAGAGTACAAAATATTCCTATTCTACTCTTTAGCTTAATGTACAACATTCTGGACACTGCTGCTGTCATTTACACAGACTCTCTCAGTAGGTTTCACACACTGTTACATCACGGAGGTGCTGCTCCATGGTGGCTGGCAGGTGGCAGTGACCCTCGTGTCCTCTGCGTACCCAGACAGGCTGAAGCACCACCATGAACACTATGATGTGCCAGGATCAAGTAGCCTGGCTGCTATCTTGTTACTAATCTGATAATCTGTTTCGCACGGGGGCTCTTTTCCATTCCCCTTTACATAACCGAGTCTATGTTTGGCTTCACACTGGGAGTCTGAGCCAAGCTGACCACAGTGAGGGACGGACGGCCACCCCCTTTTAGAGAAAAACAGAACTTTGTGGTCACTTTTAGGAGGTGGGATACATTTGTTTTTTCAAGTATATCTTCCTATCATGTCGATGCCTTCACTGATTTTCCTTCAGAGGGGTCAGAGGTCAAAGTCAGTCATTATGTACACCTCTGGAGTTGTTTTGATCGCCTTAATTTCAGTCCATGACTGATGGATGTCACCTAAAAAAAGCCTCCAGGGACATGGAGTCCTGATATGTCAATACCTTTCCTTTTTTTCTCACAGTACCATACAGCCATACCCACTCTGGACCTTTAGTCAATATCTTTACCACCCACTTTTGAAGGAAATAAGGGTCTGTTTCTTACCACAGCCATTGCTTCAGACTTGACAATATTTTTGGACTTTATCCTTTCCTGTATTGTCCTTAAAACTCAAGTTTCTCTTCCTCAGTCGGATTTACTCTTCCTTTTTCTTCAGTTTTCACCAGAACTCTTTAAAATTCCACTACTTAAGCACCAACAGTATGGTGCTTGGATTGAGGATTTAATAACAAAAGCAATAGCAGTATTACCATAGAAACTGCACTGTAAATCAGTTACATTGAAAGATATTATTGAGCATTTTATTAATACCTTTTTTCATTTATTTATCCTATGTGACAAGTGGAGGTTTTACTTCCAATGCCGTCCTGTGTAGTGGCTGTGGAAGAAACATAAAACTTCAACGGTGTCATCTAAAGAGCCATTAGGTTAATTTGTGTAGACCTGCACTTTGCCTGTTAGAAGAGTCAGTGTGTTTCTCAGAAAAAAAAAAAAAAAAAAGGTTTGTAAGCACAAAACCTCAGTAAGGCACCCCCTGTAAGCTAATCCAGGAGAACGCTGATTAAAAAAGTGAAGGAAAAAAAAAAAAAGCCAATAAAGTAGGTCAATCCCTCAGGGCAAACAACTGTAAAAATAAGTGTATGTAACCTATTGAAGGTACCTCACAATACTGGCACAGGAAAAAATACACTGTAACTACAGGATGCCAACAATAACGTCAAGGACTGTTTATTAATGGAAGAAAGATTTCAATACCTAAGCTTAAGTAAAAGTAGAAAAAGCAAAACTATTAAAAAACATTACAATTAATATGAGTTTTGTTGTGCTGGCCCTTACTTTGTGTAACAGCCATGCAGTTGAATCTAATCTAATCTAATCTAACCTGAAAATATACCCAGTAGCAGGTGTCCGGTATAAAGTACATCATGTTCTCCTGAATCATATGGTAGATGGCTTAAAGTACTACAAAATAGACCAAATCAACTAAATGCAACCTAAAACCTTTACTAAAACGCCAGTGTGCTATCTCTCACGTAACATTGATTACATTATTGGAATATCTCTTTCTGTGAACTTGATTGTGAAACAGCTCTCCACTTTGGAGAATTGTCACGTATATCCATTTGACATTTCTTTTTAATCTTCATTATTGTACAAAGAGGTAGCTTTAATTGCTTTGATCATCTCAATCGCTATGAAAATTATTGACGTCGTTATTGTTTCAAAATTACAAGCACATTTTTTAACAAAAACCTTTTATTTGAAAAGTCATCTCTTGTATCAGGGTTACACATTTACATTTTCTTCCAAAAAAGCAATGTCTTCCTGTCTTAAAATGACTTAGATTTAACTCTACACTGCTGCTTCTTTTTGAATGTGCAGATCTATGAAGTCCTCACATCTCTCTCTGTGTCCCTCCACTACTCACTGTAGCTCGAGCAAACCAGCTCACCAACAACTTTTCTTATAACACTGTAAAACTACTCTATGCTACACAATGGCAAGTTATAAAACTGGAGTACGTGTACACCAGAAACCAAATCTGAAGAAGGACAATGACACAGAAAGCCAAGATGACAGGATTGTTTTTTCAGGTTTGTGACATATGAAAGTTGGAATCAATGTTTTTGAGATGGGTTTTGGTAAGCTGCAGTTTCCAGGTGGAAATGCTAAACTATGGTGCTGACTGCTTCTGTGGCTCATAATATGTGTTCCAGCATATAATATATATATATATACAGTATGTCACAAAAGTGTGTACTTTGCCATGAGGTGTCATGTTAAGCTTCCAGTGACCAGTATGAGAGAGTGTGGCTGTGTCTGAAATCACCCACTGCACCCTATATAGTTTGCCATTTTGTAGTGCTGTCTGAATGTTAAGTTACAAATGTTACTCAAAATATCCCACAATGCACCGTTAAAAGTAGGGTACAGCTAATGGTCATTAACCGAGCAATATGGACCATCATGCATTGCGCGAAAAGTAATGCAAACTAGATGAAGGAGGTCGCGAAAACTCGTCATTAAAATGTAAGTAATTTCCCATTTATGTTTTGTTAAATTTTATTTTACCTGTTTCTTAGCTACACAATAAACTGTGGATTTGATGTGTTTGTACTACACTGTTACAGCACAAATCGCGGCTAGCGAGCAACGTAATTAATAGCTCGAGTAGTGTCCGACATGTTAGCTTGCCAAGGCGTTGCCTACATAGTTCACTACATAACGCACGATATAGTGGTCCCTATGTAGTGTGTAGGGAGTGAGTGGATGATTTCAGACACAGCCTGTGAGAGTGATAACACCAAATCTAACACACCTGCTCCCCATTCACACCTGAGACCTTGCAACACTAACGAGTCACATGATACTGGGGAGGGAAAATGGCTTATTGGGCTCAATTTGGACATTTTCACTTACATACTCACTTTTGTTGCCTGCAGTTTGGATGTTAATGGCTGTGTAGTGAGTTAGTTTGAGGAGACAGCAAATTTACACTGTTATACAAGCTGTACACTGACTACTTTACATTGTAGCAAAGTGTCATTTCTTCAGTGTTGTGAAACTCTGCTCATGCCTGGTTCATGTGCTTGGACTTGTGTTGTGGGTGTAAATAGTGATTCTTGGGTAGATGTGGGTTTGCATTTATGTCTATTTTCAGGTTTGCATTATGTGTAAGAATGGATGTAAATATGGCTTGTATGCACGAGCTGTTAAAGGTGTATATTAAAGGTGCATGGTTACACACTAGGCATGGTGCAACATGTTGGCTAATTAGCAAACTAGTTATTTGATGCTAATCAATAAATAAATGTGCTGATAATTTTAATAAGTTCTAGTAATGTTACACTTACGGAATGGGTGGAAATCAGATGATTAAATGAACCTACTGTGTTTATACTGCTAATTAATTTTATTGGTGTTGATGCTGCTAGGTTATTTATTTGTACTGTAAATAATGTATTTACCCTGGTATGTGTGTGTTTCTAAAGGTTTTTTACCTGACTGTCTGACTGACCATAAAGCCAAAGTGAATTCCAAAAATAAAGAATGGAAAGAGACTAAAAGGCTCCATCTGAGTAAATACAAGTTGCAGTCTTCACATTTTGGCTACGGCCCTTTCAAGTGTGGGGCACAGCACAGTTAGATAAAACATTTGACACCCATGAAAAGATATAACTCACTTTTGTGACATACTCTGTTTTATTCCTGTTTTGATTGTTTGTTTATTGTGAATGCTTGTGTAAGCTGCTGCACAACAAATCGCCCCTCGTGGACAAATAAAAGATTTGAAGTTGAAGTATATATTTGGACATGTTAAAAAGTAAAAAACAGATTTTTTTATACCAGAGGGAGTCTTTACAGTTTTCCTAATTGAAATAAAAGACTCTCACATATGCAAATGTTTCAACGGCTGAACTTTTTCGTGTTCTTTAATGTATTATGCAGCCCTTAAACCTGGCGTGTGTTATTTTTGATTACTGAACAATTTTGTAAAAAATACTCCTGAAATTTTACAATAATTAACACAAAAATAAATACAAAGTTGTGATAGAATGGAAGCACAAGCAACATTGAAGGTCATGACATGATCACATTTTTGTTGTTACTGTGATTACTTCTGGTTTAAACGTTTTTTTGTGAGTTGTTTTTATCTTTGTTTTTATCCTGTGAAGACAGCTGAGGTGGAGGATTACCCATGATGCATCGCTGCAACTATAAAAGCTCCGTCTTGCTGCTGCGGAGCGTCAGACTCTCCGCCATTCAGAGATGTATTAACGTCCTGGTTCTTTCTTTCACTCAGAGTTTAGCTATCGTCAGGTCTTAAGTTAACTTACGAATGCTGAACATATCGGTGGAGTTCTTGTTGAACAGTAGCTGTTTTGGTTGTCATCCAGGAAGTAAAGCTCCGTGTTTACTCGAAGCGATCATGCTGAACACCGAGGAAAGGTAGGAGGATGTTCGCATTTATACAGAAACACTGAAAACACTTACTGCTGCCATGTCTGTTTGTTCTGTAAACTTTGAAAGTGACGTTCGGGTACTTTACTTGCTGCTCGCTCGCAAAGAAGCAGGAAAATATAGAAAAATTCTAGAAATGTCCGCATTGAGAGAAAGCGAGACTCCGTAAACACACAAACAAGAGCCGGAGGTTTGTTTACAGACCAACAACAGTTGACTTCACTGCCTGTCTTCGTGCATTGCTGGACTCAGAGGACAGAGGATACCAAACACTGTTAATAGGAAGCATTCGGCGACTTTTTCATCAGTGTACACCGTGAGAGGGTTTAACGGCACAATCTATACGTGATATAAACTAAAGGGTGGGTGTGGAGGTCTGCAAAGCTTCGAAAAGCTCTCCAGGACACATTTTTCAGTTTCTTCCGGGTGTCTGCAAGTTGCTTCTTGTTTGCTCAGATACTGTAAAATGTGGGCCTGCACCTAAACAAGATGATTTGTTAATCAGTCGGTTTATTTATGAGAACAACTGGATAATGCCTACAAGTTACCCAAGCTTTAGCATCTTTACATGTTGTTTTGTTGTTGGTTGTTTTGCCCAAACAACAGTATATTTTTCCTATATGCTGCGATATGTATCTGAGAAAACAGCGTGCGAATGTCTGCTGTTGAGACACTGGAAAAGGCAAATGCATTTAATTTTCTGTGACTGGTTAATCTTCAGATTGTTCAAGTACAAAAGACTGATTTGATAGTTAATTTGTTGAAAAGTGCCACCACCAATGCTGAGCAACTGATTAGTGGATAAGCTGATTGACAGAAAATGTTATGACCACAAGTTTAATGATCAGTTAATAAGTGAAGTCATTTATGGAGCAAAAATGTCAGACATTTGCAGCTTATTTTATGTTTTAGGCACATCATTATTAACTGAGTAATAGAAACGCTAACATGTAGCCCAGATATTAGCTTCTGTATGCAGATCCATGCCGTTTAAAATGTTTTATATTGTTTGTTTCTTTATAATTACATACCGATTTTTTTTTTTTTGTGATGAAGATCCCTGGTTGTGCAGTAATTATGACCAGCTATGCACCAAGCAGGACACTTAAAGGTTCTAAAATAAACTTGTCAGTGCTCTCTGGTGGACAAACTGTGCAATGGAGACACTTTGTAAATAACCTCAAACATGTCTTTGGTATTTCTTTGTTATAATTACTTGTTCCTTATCAGCCAATGCTATACACTGACATTGATTTATCTGCTATGACCTTATATCACCTGATACATCAGTCACCTTGGGCTCTGGGAAATTGTGAGAGACATCTTCTTGTTTTTTATGACAGAACTCAGCAATGAAAACAACATTTAGTTGCAGCCTGAGGCTTTTTTTTTTTAGCTTTACAGTGAGCAAGATAGTAGCTTATTATAGCCGTCTTCTCTCCATTTTTGTAGTGCAGTTGTGACTTTATAATGGCGATACGCTTGTGGTGTATTTTGCATTGTCTGCTCCTCCTATTGCATCACCATAGAAGCGCTATAGGGATTTGGTGTCACTGTGGCAGTAATATGTCTTATACTTATTTATTTATGGCAAAAGTGATAGTATTGCAGAGCTATGATTTGTATTTTTAGGGGCATTTGCATGGTTTGCGTGTGTGTTTTCTTTCTCCTCTTCCGCTGTCAAACGGAGACATAAGCCTTGTTTTTGTGCTCTGCTGGTTTATAATCTGACACGCAGCGAGCGCAGAGGGAGAGGTCCATTGATGCTGTGAGCCAGAACAGCGACTATATTAGCCCTCTGACTGCTATGGCCCTGTCAGCTGAAGGCATCAACTGACCTACATCAGTCCGCTTACATAACCCGGTCCCCTCTACTAGTTCACTTCTCAAGCATCAATGGAATCTGTGTGTGTGTGTGGTGGAAGTACAAGGATACATGCACTCCGAAACAGCTGGATTATCTAACCTGAGCTACCTGAGTGCAGCTAAGTGCCCCTTTAAATGTCTGGCAGACGGATCACTTAAGTGGTTGCTGTGGTTGCTAGAAGATTCTAGATCAGATCACGGTTGAATTTTCCGTAACGAAACCAAAACATTGTGCCAAGTGTGCCAACCAGTTTCCGCTGATATGTGAAATTGTCAAGCTCAGCTGTTACAGCTGTCTGCAGGTGGGCTGATACAACACAGTTTTCGAAACTCCAAGTTTACATAGATTATTTTGGAGCAGTTAAGGATACAATCGTATGTTCATTAATTAATTAGGGAAGCTAGCAGAAAATAATTAGTAGCTCTTTTGATAATTAGTCATTAGTCATTTCAGTACTTTTAAGCAAACCTTCCTTGAATCTCTTGTTTCTTTTAGTATTTGAAGTCATCACTTTGGACAAAGGTTGTGATGGACATTTTTCACAATTTTCTGGAATTTTATCGACCAGATAATTATCAATTAATTGAGCAGCCCAGCTACTAAGACATTTGGTGTAATATCATTGAAGACAAAGACAGCCAGCAAATAGTCACATCTGAAAAGCAGAAACAAGTTAGTTATTGTACTTAAGGCCAGTATTCAAGTATCAAAGTTGTGATTAGGAAGCTCAGCTCATTTTCAATCGATTAATTAACTGATTGTTTCAGCCCTAATCAGTTTATTACACACTCAGAATGTGACAATGTGGCACAAATGTGAAGAAAAGTAACTTTAAGTCTGTTATTGTTTGCAAAAACTTTACCTTTTTGATAAAGTTATTCTTTTTTCTGTCAGGATTTTACTCTGTGATGGAATTGTTTGTTTTGGCTACACAAACATGATACTACCTAGTCACTTTGCTTATTAGTAAACAAACACACAAGTAAAATCAGGTATATATTTTTTTTCATTTCCGTCCAAGTGTTTTTTATTAAGCAGCTGTCTGAGCGGCTGCTAGTGTCATCTGCTTAAATACAGTGTGACGGGAGCTGAATGCTGCGCACCACCCAGTGCATAAATGCCAGCACAGATAGTTTTGTGCTGGACACTCTCTTTGCTGCTGGATGATTCTAATGATGTTGTGTATAGACAAAGTGAATGTTTTCAAAACAGTCCATAGACTTGGTTATTATAGTTGTTGTTATCTTTATTGTTGTTCGCTACAGGCATACCAAAGTTAGCTTGTTCTGACGAAGCTTGTGCTGAATCCAATTCATGTGTGAGATTCCACAAGCTGCAGCCTGTTTATGGGTTGGAACAAATCTCAATGTAAGACGTGTTCTTTAAATTTCCATGTTCTTGATATTAGTGCTGCCTCTTTGCATAGAATGTTGGGATTAAGATTGGCATGGCTTCTACTTCTACTCCAGTTTAGGACATGAAGTAATGATTATGTTACACTTCTAAAGTGCTACCTTCCTAACAAATACGTCTTTTAAAGCAGCGTTTTTACACTTCCCAGTGTGACGGCTTAGTTGCACTGTCTTATAATAGAACTGGACTCTCTGTACTCTTTTGTTTCTGATTGGTGATGGATGTTCATGCTTACAACGCTATTCTTTGGTTCAGTTCAAACAGCTGCTGTTGTCGCTACTGGAAAAGGAACCACTGTTGCACTCTGTGCTTAAGGGTGTTTGTCTTTAAGTACTTTAAACATAATTTTAAAACAACAATAACAAAAAACGTATAGCTTTTGACAGACTGTGGCAAACATTGTCATGAAATGTGGTAGAGACATTCACGTCTCCCTCAGGATGAAAAGTAATTACTTTGGTCATCCCTTTATGTTTTTATCTGCAACCAGCAGTCAAGATTTTAATTTGTCCAGTGCTTAAGCTTATGACCTGCAATAACAATATTTGGAAACCTGGGGACGGTTCACAAAGCAGGGTCAACAAACTCTGAGTCTCATTCTGAACTCTGAGTTGATCTACTCTGAGATAGGAAACTCTGAGTTTCTGGTTCCAGAACAGCGGATTTGAGTTTGTTTAATCAACTCGGAGTAGTTTCACCTGGAGTTTGTGGAGTGCGTGCACCACAACCATAAAAAGCCAGCATCAATGGAGCCCCGATTTGACGAGTCACCATGGCAACGGGGAAGAGGAGGGCTGTGTTTTTCACCCCACTAGAATTGGAAATCTTAATGCGCTCATACGGCAAGTGTGAACACGTTTTTAAAAAGAAGTGCAACACCGCTGCAGCTGCAACACAGAGGGAGACAGCATGGAGAACATTGCTGCTCGGGTCAGTGCCTAAGTTTAAATGTTTTCCTTTGCAATCACAATAATATTACAGGGGAAAAACTGCTTTAATGGTGGCCTATTAATTTATTTCATTTAGGTGCAATCCCACGGGGGAGAAGCGCACTTGGCAGCAGCATAAGATGAAATATAAAAACACTGTTCAAATCCGACAAGCTGAAGTGAGAGTGACGCACAGGTCGCATTTGGCTACAAAGACCAGTTTCTGTGTTTACGTTAGTGGTGACAGCTCCGTTTCCGCGGTGGCGGGGATATTTGGAGATCAAATTTGATATCCCGATTCCAGCACACCGAACGAATAGTTGGCTATTCGGCTATTCGGGTCCAGCCCTACTGCTGACTAAGTGAATGAATGAGGAAATCAAATGGTTTGTGTGGCTGAAAGAGGGCGCAGACAGAGAGAAACTCGTTGTTCATTGAGAAAAACCTGGTCCCGACCAGGTTAGGTTCATAGAGTTTGTTACTATGGTAACTGACCGAGGTCTTAAGTTAGCTCTCTCTGTGAAACAGGCTAGAGCTACCTCTCTGTCTCTGGTTTGAGTTACCTCCCTTTGTGAAACGGAAAACTCAGAGTTTCCCTCATTTCAGGGTTAGCAGACTCAGAGTTTTCACTAAACCTGCTTTGTGAAACAGACCCCTGATGACATTGTTTTCCTTCCTGTCTGTGGATGTTGACATTTTCGGCTGGTAAAACCGAGGTGGTGAACTTTATACCAATTGTAGTTATTTCTGGTTGATCCTGCATGCAAAGTTGTTGAGTACTAAAATGTTTTAAATTTGATTTAACGCTTCACACATTTAAAAACTCTGCGCTGTACTGTTGTTGTCGTGTTGACTAGGTCGGTTGTCAGTCTGTCTGACAAGCCGCACACCCACAGTTTGGGTTCAGGGGTCAGAGCAATGTGTTTTGACAGGGAAACGTCCGTCGTCCACAGTCAGGTTTCAGAGCACGTGTGCCTTTCCTGTTTCTGTCTCGACATCTTTTCCGACATAGTGGTCTGCCAAACTTCCAGGGGTCTGAGAAGGTCTGAGGACTCTCCTGTTTACTTCCTGTGTACAGCAGTTTCTTGTTTATGTGTTAAACCTTCCTTGCTTTCTCAAAGGCTTTTTTTGGGGCCAATGAATTTATGTTCACAGCCTGAGTTTTACTCGACTTTTTTTCCCCCATTGCTAAGCTGGCAATTACAGTGTTAGAAGTTGGTTTGGTTTGTCTCGTCTTTTTGGAGAACCGGCCAGAGACTTCTTGTTTTAGTTAAGTTATGTTTTTTGACTTTTGGCCAAACTTGGCCTCAGCAGCCAGCCAACCAGGGCCATTCACCCCTTGAAACAATTCACCTGAATCAATTGTCATAACAACTCACAGCTCAGGAAGAGCAAACTATTAGTGGAACCCCTAATCCTTCAAAACATTTCTCTTGCATTCACACACACATGCCATTACCCCTTTTGTCAGAGTGGGATGATGATGCACTTGGCATCTTTGAGTGTCAATGCAACACACACACACACACACACACACACACACACACACGATCAAGTACTCCTTGGCATATTAATACAGGCCAAGCTTGTGAATGCACTTGGCCTTCACACTGGTGTACCGCCTGTATCATCCATCAAGTTGAAGGTCTTTGAAAATGTAACCTATATTCTGTTTTTAGGGTGACCTCATGGCCTATTGGGGGGCTAAAGGCTGCAACCCCTCCAGCTGGAGTGTCATCATGGGATGGGAGGGTGGCTTGGAGTGTGGATGAAATGTCAAAGGACGAGAGTGTTGCCTTTCAAAACAAGCTGGCATTTACATCAAGGACAGACTCTGTCTGTGTCTGAAGGGGAAGATGGAAAAAGGGAAGCAGATCTTGACAGCTTGGCAAGCGTTCCTATCTCCTCCTACTTCATCCTGCCTGTCGTCCCTAGAACAATCACTATCAGTTTTGTTTCTTTCAAAAAAATGAAGAGAAACTCTTGTCTGTTTAGAGAGAGTGGTGCACTGTCCACATTCATGTCATTCCACTGCAGTGTGCTATATTTAGAGGAAGTTTGGGTGTTTTTTTTTTGTTTTTTTTTAGAATCACCTGCTGTGTACTTCTGCTTTCTGTGTGCGGTGACTGAATCTTTTCATGTATTTATTTTAGTTGTTAAGAAGATCTTTTTTGATCCAGAGGATTGACCATAAGTAATAGAGGAATGTATATTCAGTGACTACAGTACAATTATAAAGAAACTTAAACTTGCATGCTACTTTGTACTTCTACTTTATGAAAGAGGAGAATATTGTGCTTTTTCTCAACGACATTTATCTGAATCTTTAGTCATTTATAAAACATCAAAAACATGAGATCACCAGTTCAATCATGTCACTAGTCCAAACCCAAAATATTTATTTCACTGTAATGCCGCTCTGCTGTTCATACTCTGGTAAAGCCTTTTGAATACTTCCAACACCACTGCAGCACATGAAGCAGTCTGGGTCACTAAAATTACAAGGGTTTGTCCACTCTATAATGCACTGGTTCATATGTTGTCTCTGCATAGCTAAGCACTTAGGGATGAGATGAGGGAAGAGCGTGCGCAATTGCGGCTGCAACATGAACAGGCTTGGCATAATGAGCTTTGTTTTCCATTGCTCACTCTCTTGGCTTGTAGCTATGCAGATCAGGTCGTCCAGGTTACCCGTCTGGTCTGCAGGGAAACTGGCACACCTCAGCTCCGCCTCACAGAAAACAGCTTGATGTCACTGGCATAACCTAAATAGTGGTAAACTTTCAAATGTATTTCTTCCAGTGAACCACCACAGGAACCACTGTGACCCCAATAATAACCGCAAACTAGACTCATCACCTATTTGACAATGTTAACAGAAACTGAAAGTGTGGAAGCTTTATAAAAACATAATCTACAGGCAGAGCTGCTGTCTTGGATTGCTTTAGATTTCTCAGGTAGAACTAAGGAGGTGACTGGAGAGTGTATACTCACAAACAGGTCAGACTACCTGTTGCAGCTTCAGGCAGGGGGAAATTGTGTAAACGTGTCAGGTTTCATTGAAGGCGCAGGACTTTTGCAGGGACAAAAATGAGAGAAACAGTGAAGAATATTTGTTAATCTAAAGGCTGAAGTTTAATGATTTGAGGATTTTCATGTCCAGGCCAAACTCTGGCAGCAGCAACTTTCTGCCATCCTGTCAGGTTGGAGATGCACGACCGTAACTCAAAACGCAGTGTTCCCGAACGCCTTGCAGGCTATTTGCAGAGGTGTTTACAGATCATGTGCTTGTTATGATACATGCCCTCCACCACTTGCACAACCCATCAGAGACTCTTTGAATGCAGTCATCAATTACAGGCTTTAATTTTGTTTATGTGGTAGACTCGTCATAAACAAACGGGCTGTGAAGGAGAGTAAGTGAACTTCAAACGTGCCACAAGTAATTCAATAGTTTGCAGAGCTTGGCCAAATCACATGCTTGTCAGCTTTATTCTGTGTTAATGGATTATGATTTGAATTTGTTTGAATTGTGGTCACATGGTTGGAAAAATCCTAAAATCTATATATAACTAAGCAGACCAGACTAAGTGGACCACTGAGTCTCAGGTTTAAGGCCACAGAGTTACCGTCAGTGCCCTCTTCTGCTGATTAGAATCTTGTCTGGCAGATCCTTAAGTTTGATGCAAACATATTGTTGCTTGCAGGACTAAATTCAAACTGGGAGAGTCTGTGTCTTTGACTTGGGTTGTTTGGACAAGTGCAAACTGGGATACAACAAATGAACTAACAGTACAATGTGTGAAATCCTCTGGCTGTCCTCTCCACTTGGCGTGTTGCCACAGGTGTGTTATATTTGCTAATTACCGGGATGTACCTAATGAAGTTAAAGTAGGCCTGAGAGAGTGTGTGAAGCAACAAGCTGAGAGGGTTACATCAGTGGAAGACAGGATTAGTCATTAGTGTTTCAGTTTTAGTTCTATCTTTGAGTTGGGTTTCTGGGTTTGAGACGTCCTCTGAAACTCGTAAAAAATTCTCTTTACATAAAAGATTTGCCAGGCCAATAGTATAGACCTGAAAAGATTAATCAATCTGTCCAAAAAATAAACAAATAAAAATCTGTTAGCATTTAGTTGGGTGAAAAATAACTGTTTTCTAGTTTCTGGTTCTCTGTTTTAATGAACTGCTGCTTTTTGTGTTTTCAGATATCACATTAAGTTAAGTACATTTTCGTTTTAGCCTTTTTTGTCAGACTCAAAACAATTGACGATGTCATATTGGGCTTGTGATACATGTGGGCACTGGATGGACTCCCAAACAACATTGGAAGAAGCCAACACAAGTAGTTTTGTACAGATTAGTTTGGCCAGCCTGCAGCTGGTAGTTGTGTGGCAGGATGAGTGCAGCTCTTCATTCAAGATTTTTAAGAGGTGCACAGTCATGTAAACCAGGAGCTCAAGACAGGAAACATACCTTAGTAAAACATAAAGAACAACTGTTTATTGTCCTGCTTTTAATCAGTGATTGCACAAGTTTTATCAGGTTTACAGGTAAACAATATTTTTCTCTCTGCTATCGCTGCTGAGCGCTTTGAGAAAAGAGAACCCGTGTGTGTGGAATAAAGTTATGACTCTTTCACACAAAAGATCCGTTTTGGTGAGACAATCTGAAACACTGACTGGTTCGTTTTTGTCTCTGCAGTTCCTGGTTAGCGGGGTCTCTGACGCCCAGCTCCATCCCTCAGGCTCCGGGGCCTCTGTGGTGTTCCTGATGCCCCTCACCCACAGCTAAAGATCCCGGGTGGGCGAGGGACTGTCAGGGATCACTCTCTCTGCGTGCTCCTACACAAGGTGACAGTCCCCAATTTCACACACACACAGCTATAGTCTGATTTGTAAAGCTTCCTGGTGAATCTGCGCATGTGGGCAAACCTATAATCACACAGCATCTGAACCCATAATGAGAGTGTTGTTATAAAACAGCTGGAATGTGAGCAGTGGTGAGTTTACATGTAAATATAAGGCCCATAATTGACATCATAGCCGCTGCAAGAAGGAGAAAAACATCGACTCTGCTCTTGTGAATGTGACTTACACATGAGTCACTCTTTCCATTTAGACTTTATTAAGAGAGTCAGATCAGTCTTTGTCCTAGATTGGAATTTGAAAAGCTTTTTTTTTTTTTTCAGATAAAAGAGTTTTCATAAGAACTAAATGGTTTGAAATGGTAATAATGGAAAAATGAGTCCACACGTGCTGTTCTAATTCACTGTAAGCACTTTAGATAATAATTGTGTTAAGTGCTTTAACCCTTGGGGACATTTCTGACTCAGTGCACTAAACAGGAACACCTTACTAATGAGTTGTACCCTCATTTTGCAAAGTCACTTTTGAAAGCTAGAAAGTCCTTTCATCTGCCTCCTACTCATCATGTGCACCTGCTGTGGATTTAATGCTTACATTTTTTTTTCTTTCACCTCATTTCCTCTTTGCAGGCTCACATTTTAGATCGCAAAGTAGATAATTTAGTTATGTAGACTGTCTGGAGTTTAACCTTTTTGTCTTTTTAAATATCTGTGTTTTGTACATGCCTGCACACACACACGTGCTGCTGTGTCCTGTCGTGTGTGTCCGTCAAGTTGTACCCCAGACATGTGACCAACTGTCCCGGAGAGATTAGAGATTTAGGATCAGACAGATCAGTCACAACTGTCATATCAACATCCTCATATGACCTCAGCAAGTAAAAAGCCTTTCTGACCTGTGACCAGTTGAGCAGATTTGGTTACAACTCTGAACCCAAGATGTTTCGTACATTTATGCAGACTTTTATTTCTTCTACGAGTGGAAGTCATGATATAACAGCCTCAGCAGTTAGAAACATTTACATGACAGATGAATCTAAGAGGCTTCATTCAGAATGACAGTGCAGCTCAGCTTTCATGATTCAGACAACATCCAATCTCTAGTGAATCTGACATCTATAAATGCAGCAGTTGCTCCAGCAGTAGGAAGAGTAAAATAATGTACTGACCTAACAGGCTACATATTTACAAGGTGGAAATTACTGTTTTGCACAGATTTTTTTCTGCTTTTTGTTTTTCCTTTGCTGTGTTCTTCTGTCTGTGCAAAACCAAATGTGTGACAAATATGTCCATACCACTAACTGGTCAGGGTTACGCTGAAGACAGAAGCGGCTTGTTAACCACACATCTGATACAGTAGAGAATCTGTCTGCAGCAAGCGTGACACTCTGCTGCCTCTTCAAGATACCGTTTCACTTAAAAACTGCTCTCAAATGGAGAAAGCCCTCTTCAGAATGACCATTTTGTTTTTTTTATCATCTGATCTTTACGTTTTAAAGTGTCCAATGATTTAGTGGGTGAAAGTACAAATCATAATTTAATGAGTACATTTACATGTCGATTACTATCCTGGTTATGATTATTTGGTGGAGCTAAATAAGTTAGAGTTATAAGAGTTAATTTGCAAAAACAGATAACTCCATTGTTGGAGATTTTCAGAAAACATAATTTTTTGTTGTTTGCTTGAGATAATATCAATAAAACTGAAGTTGAGTGGATTTGACTTAGTAGTAATGACATGACAAAAATAGAGATAACTTAAGTTTGATTGATATTATCTCAGGTAGATGATGGAAAAGTGGGTTTTCTGAAGGTTTGTAAAGATGGAGTTATCCATTTTTGCAAATGAACTCTTCAGTTTTTTGTTTGTTGCTGTTTTTTGAGTATCCTGGTAAAGTTTTGCACATGTAAACATCTTATTCTGCCTTCACAAACCTGGATGAAGCCTAATCTTAATCCTGTCGCTCTCTTGTTCTCCGCCCTCTATGATTCCAGGATGACAAGCTAACAGTGACACAGGCCGCTCCAGTGAGTGGGAACCCCTCTTTTCTCCGCTTCCACTACCAGCTGAATGAGCGCCGCTCGGCCTCCTGGGATACAGCTTTATCAGAAGACAGCCTCTTCCTGGAGATTCCTGCCGGGCCGCTGGTGGAGGGGAGCAAAGAGGGGTAAGTTCAAAAGGATCTTTCCTTGGAAAACAGGGGATTAAAGCTGTTTTTTTTGCCACTAAACTGTGAATGTACTGCATTTAAAATATACCTGAGTCCTCAAAAGAAAGAAATAATATCAAAGAGATGTGCTTTTATATCTTATTATATTTTACTAGGCAGCTTTCCCGTTCCATGGTCGTGTCCCTTTTTTAATTTACTGTTGCAAACTCCAAACGTCTTCCATGTATGTGTTTTCTTGGTAAAAGCGATGTTATGTAAATTTCCACAGCACTAATTTATCTATACACCAGTCATGTCATATCCCCCCTGGGCCTCTGTTTCTTCTTAACAGAGAAATTGTTTCTTGTACACAAATTATTTTCAGTTGCTTCAATTTTCCAGTTTTTTGGAGCCTAGTTAAGTGGCAACAGTGAAATGTGACCCTCCCTGCACTGATGCTACACTTAAAAGTATTTCCACACCTCATAGAGCTCAACCGACATCAAGCTACAAAAAAAGAGAGTGGAAACAGCTGGAAATCAATAGAGAATGAAAACAGTACTTTGTGTTGTAAAGAGAAATCTTGAACAACATGGTGGTGTGCATGACATGAATGTGGTTATTATACTAGAATTAGTTATGAGGAAGTAACAGTGTTATTCATTTTGCTCTTGCAGCCCAGATAGTTCCAAGCCTTCCTAATGTTTTTAAGCCAGCCTTTATGGGAAGCCAACTGCTGCAGGCTGTTCATGCATTTGACAGTTTATAGTAGTGAAGAAAAAATAAAAAGTCAGCAACAAAGCTGTTCTAAACAAGCACTTCCAGTTTTGGATCCTCTGTTTTGGTCCAGGCCTGGGTGCAAACACTGCTGCACTTAAGTTAGCCGTTGCTTATGTAAAGAATCAGTCCTCTTCCATATCAGAAATACCATCTCCTACCATGGACATACTGTAGCCTTGTAGAGGTTTCTCGACTCGAGCAACATGGCTTTAAATTGTATATGGAGGCTGTTTATCATAAGTCATCTAAGCTACCAGTGGCCACACAAATTAAAGAGGATGCTAATAAGTTTCTGTTTTCACTGCCTGGCTTTCTCTTTGGCTGTAATCAATGCCAGGACAGAGTAACCTTGTCTGCTTGCAGGCACAGTGCCAGTCCTGTGAGCACCAAGCTTTGCAGCTGCCACTGCATTATTATGTAAAGTTGCAGCGCTTATGTAAAAAGAAAAAAAAGAAAAAACTTTGTGCGTCATCACCACTCCCCTCTCCCTCACTCACCGGCTCACTCTCTGTCTTTCTCTGTGTGTTTATCTCCTCCCAGGCTAACTGCTCTGCTCGAGTTTGCAGAAGAGAAGCTCAAAGTTAACTATGTCTTCCTGTGGTTCCATAAAAGCAGAGAGGATCGATGTAAGAGCTCTTGTTATTTTAAAAATACTGTTTCTTTTACCTGGCAGAGTTTGTTCTGCCAACCAGTTTATATTTCTGTCAAGATGCAAAGACCTTTAGCCGGGTACCCAGTCAATAGTAAGGATTTTTTACGTAAGTGCACTGTGTGATCTGTGGTGTAAAATGTGTGGAGAAAAAACACTGTTAGGTCCCTGTTTATTGTGCAGGACTGCAGTGTAGATTAGCAGTAGTAATCTTACCATAATTCATTAACAGGAAAACATTTAAGCAGAAAAAAAATTAAAAAAAAACATTATAAAAACCTGGAATCCACTGGAATCAACATGTGAAACATTTTCCAAGTTGTTATCAACACTGGGAAAAGATAGTGACTTTGGACACTTTAGATGTTTTCCTATTTAATTTTTCATTTGTTTACTGTGTATTATGTGTAAACACAGCCTACAGGTTAACCAGCAAGTCTGCTCTGATAAATACTGTGACATTATTATTATTATTATTATTATTATTATTATTATTATTATTATAAATGTAGCATGCCTTTTAAATCCACCAGCAGGTTTTTGGGTTCAGAGGGGGGTTGCTTCATGAGACATGACCCTGAGTTGATACTTTATTGACAGTTTGCTTTTTAAAAAATGTGTAAAATGTGTGATGTCAGTGAACAGGTTGCGTGTGACCACTGTTGATGGTTTTACTGCTGATGTAGTCTCAGTAGAAACACTGAACCCTCTGTCGTTCCCTCACCAGTGTCCATCATCAAGACGTTCCACTACATGGGCTTCGAGATGGTGAAGCCAGGGAACCCGATGGTACCAGCCCGGCCTGATCTGGCCTTCATGGTTTACTCTCTGGACAACAGCAGCTCAGATGAGGAGTAACTGCCACCGTTTCCTGACAGCTCCCTCTCCCACCCTCACCCTCCCTCTCCACAGAAACACTCCTTTTACATGTTTTTTTTTTCCCTCAAGCAATCAAACCTGCTTTGACTCACCCTCTGACACAAACCTTTCCTGCCTCTCAGAAATCCCTCATCACTGACTCGAAGGTGTCACCTTTTTTCATACATACTTGTGATTGAAGGGGGTATTTTGGGAGCGGCAGGATTTCGGTGTGACACAGACATAGCCGCCTCCCCTCTTTTCCTTTAACTGCAGATCGGAGAAGCAGGGAGCGGCATAGCTTGAACTAAGCCATCACATGCAACGAGGAATACTTGCGCTTTTTTCTTTTTCCCCCTGCTTCCTCTTTTAGCCACATTATTTGTTTGTGATGCCACGAACAAGACAAACACCTGCTGGAAATTCAGGAGAAGGTGGCGTTTTACATTAAAATTCAGCATATCTCTCCTCTGACAGCTTCTACCTTTTTATAAAACAGACTTTGGTTTGTGTTTGTGTGCTGTATACCATGCAAGTTTTGTCTTTGTGGGTAAAAATAAGGAATTATGGGGTGTGGTCTGGTCAATAAAATATTGTTTTGCTTTTTAATATAAATGGGTGGAAGCCTGATCTGGTACATTTAACATTTGAAGCACATGTAAACATTTCTTTACTCTTCTTCCTGAAATATGCCGAGGCATCATTCCAACTCCTGCCACTCGCTGTTTAATTTTTCAGTTCAACACAGTTGAAATACCGTGTTAGTCTCTCCAGACGTGACTAAGCTAAGAGGCAGTGTAAGTGCTGAATGTCAACAACACTGAGACAAACACCTTCTCTTCTCTGCACAATAATCAACCTTTTAAGCTGTTATTAAAGAGCTGGGGTGCAAGACTGCTTTACACAGAAACAAATGCTTAGTATATTTTTTCAGAGACATAAGCTTAATAATTGTGGGTCAGGTTTGAAAAAAAAAACCAACTCCACTTACTGTTACTTTGCATTAAAATGTAAACATGGTAATCAAACCTGGAAGCTGCAGCCCCAGTTTCAGCATCTGAAGTATTATATTCAGAGCTATGAATCCTGATTTGTCAATAAAAAAAAATAACATGTAGCCATAGATTGCACATCCTTGTACATTTTGTAAGATGGATTGAGCATGGATAATATGTATGGCCATCTTTGATTAGGAAACAGTGGCACCAACCTGACAAATGTATATCAGATACTCTGCTGTGATCATGATAAATGAGAGGTTAGAAACTGCAGCTAGTTGAAAATCATTAAGCCCCGTAAAGTCGTCAGCAGTGCGACCCTGCTGAAACATGACTTTTTGTGCCTAAAGAGGAGAGTGCAATGTTAATATTTTTTACTCTTGAGTCTTATTGAAAGAATGTGTCCATTGTTCATCTCGCTCAGATTCAGACCCATGCTATGTGAGGAAATTTAGCTCATCAGTGGGGTACAAACCAGAGCACTTCAGGTGATTTACCGTATATGCAAGTAGAGTTAAAACGCAGGGGGAGGCCTGCCTGTGTTTTGTTTTTTTGTTTTTTTTTTTATTAGTACTCAAAAAAACGCCAAAGAATCCAGTATGTCTGCCGTCGATTCAAATCATCTTGCTTATAAAATCCAGCTATTCTAAACCTAGTATGGTGTGTAAAGCAATATTAACCTACATTCCCCTTGTCAGCCATACTTACTGTAACACCTCAGAGAAACGTGACGATGGTAGTCTGTCTCATGTCGGGGTTCAGATGGGTGGGGGCCTTTCTTTCTTCTGCATGTGTTCAGATCATACTAGTCTTCATTGCTACTGATTGAGCCCTGACTATAAGCTGTTAGGAATTGTCAATATAAAGTTTTCAGAGGTATATTTTTATGTATGTATATTTCTCTATTGTTTATTGTGATAGTTTAGGGATTTATTTTTTGTTCTCTGTGATTAGTTAGCAACCCTTCAATGACAATCCACACTTGTATAATTCACAAATTTTTGTCTTGGGGGGAGGGGGGATATCAATAAAGTGTTTAACTAAAAGGTGTTGTCTGTTTTCTGCTCCTCCTGAAAGGGTAACAAATTTGGCTTTATGGTTCATAAGCATGTGCATAGTTGTCACATGCTTCTTGCCCTGCGGTTCAGTTGAAGCCGACTCTTTGTAGAGAGAAACTGTAAGTTTTTTCTTTGAATTGAGACATTTTGCAGCACAATAAACGCATACAGATCAAGAAAATCAAAGGAAGCCAGACAAGGGTGTAAAAGTTAGAAACCACACTGATAGCCTAAGCATGCAACACCAATGGCAGCACAGTACCATGGGACTGAAGCAGAGCTGATGATGAGGCTGATTTTTCCAGAAATTAAAGTGTGGGGTTTTTTTCTCACATGAACAGTCATTGTTTCAGACTATCCCTGACTAATCACCAACAAGCACAGCTCACCGGGCTGCTCGCCAAACACGGCAATGAGCTCCAAAGTCAGTCAATCTACAGATCTATTTTCAGTGGCGGATAGGATGGCTGCTCTAATACAGCAGCAACCTGTTTTTAAACCTCTGTTGTCTCCTGAAGGCGAACAACTGTGACTCTGTGTTCAGAGCTTTAAACACAACAGTACTGGACAACACAACTCAACACATCTCAGAAAACACACTGGCAAAGCGCAAAAGCCTAGCATCTCTGAAAACACATTTGTGTTTTCTAATGTGTTAATGGCACTTGAGTACTATTTTAAGTTACTTGTACTTCAGTATTTTCATTTTCTATTTTATACTTCCACTCTGCTATAGTTCAGAGGCAAACATTGAACTTTTTACTGCATTAATTTGATAAGTTTAGTTACTTTTCAGATTCAGTTTAGTAATACAAAATATGATCTACAAATATAACAGATGTAATATAAACTATGTTTATGATTTTCTCCTTTATTTACCAGTCACAGTGGAGAGAGACAGCAGCAACATGCAGCAACATGCAGAGAGTTGAACCAAGGACTCGCTGCCTGGAGGCACATCCACCCATGTGATCTGCACCCTAACCGCCCAGTGTTACTGGGTTACTCTAAGATAAAACTTTATTGATCCCCAAAGGGAAATTTACCAGCTACCCTGCACAGAAACAAAACGAAAAGTAGTTAACAAACGAAAAGTAGTTAAATCACATTTACCATCAACATCAACATTAAAATGATGAACACGTCAAAGCATTGTTATTCTGCACAAATTACTTTTACTTTTGGTACCTTCACTAAATTTTACAATACCTATGTTTTTATCTAAGTAAACATTTACATGCATTACTTTTACTTGTTAAAAGTAATTGTACTTTAGTGTGGTATTAGTACTTTTGCACAGTGCAGAACAAGATCTGGGTACTTCTTTCACCTCTGATTTTTCGTTGCCATATTCTTTTCTTTGGAAAACTGGCAGCACTTCATGTCATTGCCAACAAAAGACGACATCTCAAAAGTCACAAATGCAGAAATTCATCAGCTTCAGAATGCTTCTCTGGGCGTCTGCCTGGTGATTTCATGTGTCTGCATGAGGAGCCCCCTGCTGCCTCGTTACAGAGCCGCTGCTCTTCCCCCAGCAGCAGCACTCATGTCACTACAGTGCGTTAAAATCTCAGACTGTGTCACTAATCCCCAGGACTAAAATCCAAGAGGCAGATAGTCCTCTCCTGGCCTTAATCTTATGTTGACTTTACATAAACTCACCTTAGATGGAGCCTGATAAGCGGTTGCAGCATCAGCAGGGCATTTCCCAGAAACTGCCTATGTAAGTCCCTGACTCTCAGTTTCCAGCATCCGGATAGCCGAGTTAAAACCAGCCAGTCAGCAGATAATCTCCTCTGAAGACACTTACGCTGCTACAGATCAAATGTTCCAGTGAAAATCTACTTTTCTGTGCGTCTACTTTGTATGGTAATGGCAGCCGGTGACAATATCCACCCTTAAGTCTGTTTAAAAGCTGCTCTGGTGTTTTTGATCATATTGCTTTATCACCAGCACATAAAGTTTCCTCTTTGTCATATTTCTTATGAGCATTTTAAAAAAAACTTCAGGTTGGAGTTTAAAGGTAGCATTTGTCCACGCCCTGATAATTCACTTTTGGCAACAATCGGGACTTACGTAATATTGGGCAGCAATCACTTGAGCGACAGATAAGTTCTAATACAATTTTTAGTTTCTGTTTGTGAATGTAACTCCACTGTTTTTCTTTATCTCCTAAATGCTTCACATGTACCTGCATGCTGCCAACCGTATCGGTCTTCTGCTTGACACTTTTCTCTGAGAACAGTTGCCTTTTGTAACTCAAAATGACACTTGAGAGCAAAAAGTTCAGCTGCATTAATGTTGTTGTCATGAAATAATAAAAACGTCTTTTTATAATTGCCATGAGTCTCCTCCTCCACAGTCGCCTCTGTTAAACCAGGAAGAAAACACCTGATCGAAAGTCTGCCAGTTAGTGCTGGAAAACATCCAACATATCCGGTTAAACACAGACAAACTCATAAATCATTGTGTAACTGTTGTCTCCTATTTCATAAATGTTTTAAGTATACATTACACAATTCATGTAGAATACATTAAGACCATCTGTGCAGCTCTGGAACACATACACATCTAATCCCATATTGTTTTCAACTGTAATTCCACAGAAATGATTAAAGAGTGAAATGACTTAAACCTTTGAAGTGGGCTGAAACAAGAACAGTGCTCTACACCAGTTTGGTTATATCACTTCTCTCTGACAGTTTAAATTAAAGGGTAAAAACTATTTCGATTAACATTTCTACCTTTGACCATGAATAGAATGAAGGATTTCATTAAATTCTACAACACAGAACATGTAAAATGTTGTTAATAAGAAACTAATAACCAAATAAAGAAATAACTTTAATCAAGTATTTATCATTTGGCTTTATTTTAAGAAACAACACATACACAAACCTACACGCTCTCAAACTCACATTCGTTCTCAAAAACAGAACTCAAAGTCTGGGCAGACGTCACTACTTGTCCTTCTCCTTCTGTTCCTTCTCCTTCTTGTCTTTCTCGGCTTTGGCCTCCTCTGCCTCATGCTTCTTGATCAGCTCCTCCACCTCCTTCAGCTTCAGCACCTTGATGCAGGTCTTACCATTCTCGCGGGTCAGGGTGGCGATCTCCACTAAAGCCAAGAACAAAAATATCAGAAAGTCAGCCTTTTAAAACAGATAACGTATCTGCAGTCTCAGATAAAGTGTTCAATGATTACGCTCACTTGTCTGTATTTACATGTTAACGCGTTGTATTCACTCTACATAATTTGTCATCAGCTGTACATTTCTAAAACATCACATTGATGGTCTGAGGACACAGACTCACATATCTTACTCTAAATGTTGTTTACATGCTGATCCTCCATCTGCTTAAAAAATGGGTTAAGCAGGTACGTTTACATCTGATGTTTACGTCATCATCTGTACACAAGCTGACCAGCCTCGCTCTCGTTGTCACGTATATCGAATACAAACAAAAGAAACCATGATAATGACAAAAGCTAGCCTCTGTCTCTTGCCAGTGCTTTCAGAGCAGAAGTTCCTGCTTGTAGTTCTCAACATTTGTCTGTAAAGAACACAGCCCTCTTAGTGTTTTGTGGGAAATCCTAGATTCACCCTCTGAAGGCCAAACAGTTTTATTTCATGCCACATTTTTACTCACTGTGGGCTCATTTGTCACTGATGGAAACAGCACAACCAGGGATACAAGCAGAGTGAACTCAAAAATATCTGTATTATGATACAGGCAAAATGGAATGGAATGCTTTTATTGCCATCATACACAAAGTACAACGAAATTAAAAGACAACTCCAGTGGTACAAAATACAAGTATAAAAAGACAAATAAGAATATATAAATATATTTACAAAAGAAGCCAGTAGGAAGTATATACAGTTAGGAATGAGCATGGTAATAGCCAAACGGTAGAATAAGTATGCTGCACTGTTGAGGTAAGAACACTGTGGATGTATGAGAAATATAAATTATATAATAATAGATTATATATACATAATAATTAATAATAAAAAATATAATAATATATTATAGCAAAGTATAATATAAATAATAAATATATATGATAAATAGTTCAGACTATGGAGACTAATGTGTGTTCAGTACCCGTATTGCACTTGGGTAGAACGTGTTGGAGAGTCTGGAAAATGTGATATAATTTTTTTTTTAAAAAGAACGAAAGCGGAATCCCTTTAATTAAAATAAATAAATAAAAAAGCCTGAAATCAACAAGGACAACATTTTCCCAACAGGGGTTATCAACACTGGAAAAAACATCTGAGTCTACTCATAGATAGTTTACTATTTACATTCTAATTTGTCTCCATATATGTTTCCTATCTGCTCTGTGTAAACACAGCCTGCAGCTCAGGGGGAAATCATTTTTAACATGTGATGATTGTAGCTGAGTCACTAATGACTTTTTTCAGAATTTTAAGAATTTTTTTGATTAGTCTGAACTGAGTGAACAATTTAGTTCGGGCAAATTTTTAGATGAGACACGAAGAATAAAGTGATTTTGATGAAATATCACAATTTTAAGCTTAGATTTTGTTGATGGTTGATTAATTCATGGAAAGTTGATTCTTTCCGTTTTTACCAATTCTGGCTCTGATAAATGGTGTAATTCTGAGGATTTTTTAAAAGATCACGTCTTATAAACCAGCCAGCAGGTTTGGGGTTGAGAGGGTTCATCTCTCACTGTATTATAACTCATTTAAATCTGACCTGCTGACATACAATGTAAAAAGCCTTAAAGCGGCAAATCAATACCTGCGGTAATGGTCCTGTTGGTCTACAGTAGTGACATGAAGATGGCTCAGTTACTTGCAATAATGCAGGAACACCGTTGAGGCAACACTATCTGACTTTTGTTGTGCGTCTTGGTGACAACTCTTTAGCTGCTATGTTCATGGGCTAGTTGTTGGCTTTGTCTGCTAGAGACCAGAGCTGTCGGCCTTAAAACTTAACCAATGAGCTGCACTAAATTTGAGGTGAGCTGTAAGTCTGGGTGATAATTATTCAATCACATTTACCATCACATTATATATTTTTTCTGACTTTATTGTTGGACGTTTCACTCTATATATTATGTTTCTGTATTATGCCTGTGTGATTCTCTGACTGTACATGTCTTGAAAAAGAACTCTTCATGTCAGTGGGAGAACATTAAAATAAATGATTGTGTTTTCCAGTTGCTTTAAAAGTATGCATCATTATAATAGAACAAATCTAATTTTTGAAACCTCCGATTTAAGCATCTCTCTCCTTACCCTTCTCTGCAGACAGCTTGCTGACGTCCATGGTTTTATTGAGAACTTTAACGGCAAGGGCGAGTGCCGAGGAAAGGGTCATCTCTCCTTCCTTGTAGTCCTGCTTCAGCATCGAGACAGCTGCCTGGGAGTGAGCAGAGCAAACAGGGTGAGACAGTAAAATTGATCTGAATCACAAGAAAGTCTCAAAACTGCACCTTTCTTGTTAGTGAAGCAGAATTTATGCAGAAATATTTGCAAAATGGCCTTCACAACTCTTTACAACTGTTTAGGTTACATATAGAGTTCAGTTTTTCCTGTTTTGTGCATCTCTATCGGCCATATCTTACTGTGTGGAGTGCAGCACAAAAACAGCCAGGATCAGGTGTGCTTTCTCAGTATAGACACTTAGACAAACCGTGCATGTACTCATGTTACTCATGTAACGACTCTCGGACAAAAGTGTGCACAAAAAGCTCTGAGGAGGCTCTGTTGCCCACAATGCTTTGTGTGTGGCCATGTAAAGAGCCACTGAGATTAGCAAAGCTATCATGAATTGAGAGTTACACAATTAGCTTCCCCAAGAGTCAGCACGATGTAGGTCACAGTACGTGTTTATTGTGTGTCCAGTCTTTGTCATGAAACTCATGCAGCTGTGCCCTCTAGTGCCATGATCAGGTATAGCAGTTTTATAATTTTCTCCCTTAAAGAGATGGTACTATGCATATTTACAGGTGATTGTTTTATTTTTGGGGTCTACTAGAAGATATTTACATGTTTTGATGCTCAAAAAACACATAAAGCTGATTGGTCAGCTGGCCTGACGCAAGCGAGGTTACAAAAGGCTTGTTCAAGATGAACCAGACCAGCACATATTCGATCCCCACACAATGCAGCCAGTTACATTTCTGTCTTGCTCTGATGTTTAGCCAACATAAGCAACGATAATATCGTGAGATCAAAACGGCTGCAGTATTTGGAGCCAAAAGCTGCAGTTGCTCTCCAGTAGATGCACGGCCTCGAAGCACAATAGGAAACATCTGACTCACCAGAGGGGTATACTACGAAACAAGTTTGACATAGCCAGGCTTTCTTTGTGCAAGCCGAATCGACAAAACCGAAAGCCCCAGCCAGAGATTACGGGTATCGCAAAGGTGTTTATCAACTTTCTTTGTCAACTCAGACTTTCTGCTTCAAACACTGTGCACGTTCACATAAAAAGGGACGTTTAACACGTCACATGACTCTTCTTCTGCACAAAACGACACGGTCATGCGCAGTTGCTTCAGTCTACAGGTTGTTTTAACGGAGAACAATGAGGAATATATATATATTTTTAAATGTGACGGTAAAAAGCACTGCTGCTGCAAATGGTGCAAGACAGAAATGCTGTTAGAAAACTGGTAAACGTGGTAATATAGAGCATTTTACTGATGCAGCCGATCATTTTCAACTGACAGCTGCACGTTAAAGTTAAACTTTGAACTTCATACATTTAAACACGATTGTGTATTGAAGTGCATTTAGGTCTGACACTGTCCCATAATACAGCATATCACTTTATTGTTTGGCCCAATCAGAGCAAAATTAATGTTATTGATTGAATATTGTCTGTAATAAATACCAGGAGAATAATCCATTTTCTCATCTGCAGTACCAGCAGAGTAAACGGACTCGACAGAAAGTCAGAGCCAAACAAAAAAAAACCTATTTATGTGATTTCTGCATCACCGGTCGTTGTGGTGGCCAAGCACTGTCTGTGTGGAGCGCTCCGTCTCCGGCTCCACCGGCAGTGTGCGATATTGTAACTCCACGGCTTCATCCAGGATATTAGTAACGCATAACTCAGCATGTTTGCAGATAAAACACATTCCCATCAGCTGAGAATCTGGATCGCTCATAAATAATAGTCGGAAACGCTCTTTCCAGCTGATTTAAATCCGAAACTCTGAACATAACCTGCTCTCGACCAGGTTAGTGCCACAGCATCAGTTACCATGGAGACCTAGCCAGGTAAAAAGAGAGCCACCTCTGTGGTACTGAAAACTGTGGCTTTAAGCTCCACATACCTCGCTAACCCACTAATCTCACTTCGTAGTACAGCCCTCTGATCTAACAGGTGACTGGCTCAGATGTTGACAAAACAATGACGTTTAAGAGAAACTTTATATTTAGTTGATGTACAGAGATTTTAATTTTTATATACAACTGATTTTGAAGGTTTATTCTAATTTATGTGGTTGATGTTTAGCAGATAGAGAGGTTGAAGACATTCAGATCACACATCATAAACTGCAGACAATGTGTAGTTCTAGTATATTAACACTGGGCTGATTTAATTCTTTCTGTCATAAGCATCACTTATATTTCTGTAACGGACTGTGAGGATTGTTGACGTAATATCTGTGAAGAAGTTTGAGCCCTGACAGTCTGAATATCTGAAGGATCAGTAAAAACAAAAGCTGTTTTCCTATATACTGTCATACTATACTATTGCTTTGCCTTTATTCTGTGTTTTCTCTTTAATTACGTAGTTTGAAAGGGACAGGTTTGATTGCCTGATTTATGTAGAAACTGATGTGATGCTGATTTACAGAAGAATTCATATAAACTGAATGAACGATGAACAGAGATCAGAGATCGGCTATAAAGCATTTTAGAACACTGTCTGGTCTTAATTAAAACTACTGGAGACTCCTACACTCGTCGGCGAACAGTTTTTAAATCCGTTTGCTTCTGTGAGTTCCCGTGCAGACTGAAGGCTGCTGGAAACTGTCCATCTTGACTGTTGACTTTTAACTCAGCGCTCTGCTGCTGCCACCTGCTCTCGTTCACTTTCCAGGGAAGGCGCAGTTCACCTAGAACAGGCCTTAGATTATGTACCATAACCTCAGATCTTTTCGTAGAAGCAGAGAGATGTACCGTATTTTCTGCACCATAAGGCGCACCGGATTATAAGGCACATGTCAAAACATACGGTCTACAAAAAAAAGGTAACGGAAGCAAAACAGTAAATTTAGTTGAACTTTATTCTACTATTTAACAATACGCTCACATTATTTTTTATCATTTTTCTGCCACAAATCCACCAAAGTCCTCATTTTCTGTGTCTGAATTGAACAGCTGGGCAATTTCGCCATCAAACATGCCAGGTTCCCTCTCATCATTGTCGGAGTCAGTCTCTTGTCAGGTGGTTTTTCAGCAATGATGCCGGCTTTTGCGAAAGCTCAGATAACAGTTAAAGCAGATACCTTAGCCCAGGCATCCACAATCCATTCACATATGGTGGCGTAACTCGCCTGGCACTGCCTCCCTATCTTAGTAAAGGTGTGTTCGCCGTCTGCCATCCATCACTCCCATGCCGCTCGCAACCTCACTTTGGTTTATCGCTGCCAGCGTACATAGTGTAAGTATTACGTCCCCGTGTCAGCAGGAAATGGTCCGACAGTCAGTCAAGCGAAGCGCTTACCAAAGTCACACAACATTTTGACAGATTTTGGAACTCATGCACACATAAGGCGCACCAGATTATAAGGCACGCGGCTGATGTTTGAGAAAATTTAAGGCTCTTAGATGCGCCTTATAGTGCGGAAAATACGGTACTTTGAGCAGAAGAATCTCAACTGAGGAAAAATAGAGGACTGGAAGGCAGCTGTCCATTCTCTGTTTGAGTGTGTGCCAAACTAGCCAGTAGACTGGCATTATGCAAATGTATTATAGTGACATAGATAAGTCACAGAGGAAAAGTCTGGACTATAAACAAGGCTTTTTCTGTGAGACAGAATAACTCCCTCTAGTGTGGACTTTGGGCTTTGAAAGTTTACAAATCTTTTATACGAACAGAGAAGCAGCTTTATAACACGACGAATAAAAGCGAAAAACCTCCGAAGTAGAATATGGGCTCTGGAACTTTGAACATATGTCCAGTGTTTCAGTCTGATTGAATAATCTAATCGTTACCACATTCTCCTGTATAATTTAAACCATTTTAAATGGTGTACTCGTTGCAGTGAGGGGGGACTAGAGTGTTGACACAGTGTTGCAAAACTTACAGCGCTGTTATTTCCGATGCAGGTGGCCTTCCAGCCTCCGTAGTTTCCACTGGGGTCGCTCTGGTAGAGCTGGAAGCCGTAGTGTTTGTCCCAGCCCATGTAGAGCAGCGACACTCCAAACGGGCGCTTTCCTGTGAGAACAAACACGGATACACAGCTGAGGTGACTGTAATGCTCCATCTCTGCATTTAAATGCTAAATACCTTTTAGAATCAGTAGTTCTGCATTTTTTCTAACATGACAATACTTACATTAAAGCAGTCAGAGTGGCTGCCAGCATGTTTCTTTTTGCCGAGTTCGAAGACACTCCACAGTTATTTATTTTATTTTTATATATAGATATCAACAATCAGACTGTAATTGTCATTTACATTATTTATACTTTGAGAAAAACATTTTTCTTTTATTCAGAGAAATTATATAACTTGAATTGGCTACCAATAAGATGCAAATAGTGGAACTTTAAAAGTTGAAATTTTCTCACATAATTAAAACTAATGATCCAAATTTAGACACTTGATTTCCAACATCCAACAAAGTAACTCCAGTACAACACTACCTGTATGGAAAAACTAAGGTTAACCTTCAGAGATGCAAATGATATCTTTTTTCACAATTATAACTGCAGCTATCCAGCACCATTCTAACTCTGTACTGGTCACTATGATTCTAGGGATTCAGGAGACTTTACTGCACCAAGTCTTGTAGCATGAATCTCTTTAAATATTTTATTTTAAATATTACCCTGTGGTTCCAACCTGGCAGGAAAATTTGACTCCTTGATTAGTTTGTCAATATCTAACAGGACAGGAAAGTTGCCAACTAAGCCAAATAACTGCACACACCATTTTGATATGTAGACGAGATACTCCAACTTAAACATATTTGAACCCATATTTTGGTCACTGCATAGACGAATTAAGGCTTGTCTTATCAGGAAGTAAAAATCTACATATAGTGAAAGAACAAAAGTGGGTAGTGCTGCTCCGTACCTCCAAACTGAGTGTAGGCTTGTTTGATGTCACACAGCGCTGTGACCAGCTGCTCGCAAGGTATTGGTTCCTGGTACTGCAGCAGATATCTGTGAAAACAACATAAGTCATCACATCCAGCAAAAATGAACACCATCACAATCATTAACGATAAGATTTGGTGCTGAAAGTTACCTCTGTGCTATAAGCCTCAGCTCATTGGTCAGTACGTTGGCATCTGATGTGATTCCAGCCACACTGCACGCCATGTCTCTGTGAGGTAGTGGAAAGATGTAGGATTAGTGCAATCGCAGGTTGTGAGACAAATCTGTTGCTACATTTCCAGTAATGTAGACTGATGAAAGTCTGACTTAGTGGCCCTTAAAGTAAATCTGTAAATGATAGAAATGTAATAACTTTTTTTTTTTTTTTACATCAAAAGTAATAGTACATTAACATTTGAATAAAAATGTGTTTTTTATGTCTGTTTGCTAGAGGGGGTGTATTTTAATTTTCACTCAAAAATTGGAATAACAATTGAATAATAGTAATTACTGAATTGCCCAGGGGGCACAAACTTTTGCATAGAGAACTCAATGTAGTTATGCATGGCTAACTAACACCACAAAAAAAGACATAGACTGAAGCAGAAGTGACTCACTCATTCAGCTTGTAGATTTTCTCTGAGAAAAACACTTCATCCAACAGCTTGTGGATGTTCCTCCTCTCAGCAGCCAGCAGCACTCCATCATTGGCTAAAATTCCCAGGCAGGTGCCGGCGTGACCAATGGCTTCCATGGCATACTCAACCTGGTACAGACGTCCTGCAAATGGCACAGAGTACTGTTAAGATGAGGACATGCAATAAAAGTCAAACAATGTAGATGCCTGATTCTCACTTAAAAACACATAAAAGTTACGCTTAGGGTAAATAAAATGAAATACGAGGAAGAAGAAAAAACATTATGAATCTTGCAGCCTCATTAGACACAATCCTGACTAGTTTTTACCTTCAGGTGAGAAGATGGTTGTTCGTGAATCATACCGGCGAGACTGAAAAATAAGATAGATTAAGTTGTTCAAGACTTATTTAACATAAAAACACAGACAAGGAAATGCTGAGTGAACAGTGCTGTATATACAATTAAAAAATACAGATGTGTTACAAATACAATGACAAACTGTTAACAATCCCCGAGTGCTGTTACTTCGATCAAGTCTGAGGCAAACATTTCTCTGAACTTTGGTGCTTTTGTTATAACCGCTGCTAGTAAAAGAAGCAATTAAGTGCTGTAAAGCTCACTAGCACATATTAAAGTCTGTGTAGTTGACCAAATAGATACCTGGAAACCGCAGTGAAAAACACGAATAATTAATGATGAAGTCAAATCAAGAGAATATGACTGAAAGTGACCTGAGGAGTGAAAAACTCTGCAATCAGCACTCTGAACCCCTTTCACCAACACTAATAAGGGAATGTCTTTTGAATTATATTAGTAGAGTCAGAGGCTTGGAGAATCTATGTCAAGGTGCACCCAAGCTATTCTGGAGGCTTGTGGTGAACTTAATGACTAGGGTTGAACGATATAGAAAAAACATCTAATTGCAATTTTTCCTTCTTGCAATTGTGATCTGATTTGCAATTTGTTTTAAAGGTAAGCGCTTCAGTTAATCATTCACTGTGTGATAGACTTAAAATATTTGATGGAGCAGTGCAACGTCAAAGTATAAACTGCATTATATTCTAATGCAAGGATGAGAACTTAAAGATGTGAATTGCATTCAACATGTTTTTACTACATACAGACAAATAAATAAGGTAAGAACTATAATAAATAAAAATCCCAATAAGAAAACAATTGGACCTCCCTATAGAAAACCTGACAGTGAAATAGGTCAGCTGTAAAACAGGATGTTATTACTTTGACTTTCCTCAAATCTGTATTTCAACATCTTTAAAGAAATGTACAAGGCTTCTGTATTATGCAGCATCAAGTAACAACATGTCTGGCTACATAATGAATAGAAATAAAAATAATTGAAGTAGTGTTTGTTTTTATCCACAAATCCCAAGCTTTATCACAAGACCACAGGGAGCTCGTTAAGGCAGAACACAGAGAATCTCAGCAAAGTTTAGGTTAAACACAAAACCTCCTGTCGAGCAGATGACTGGCTGCCCTTTGATTGTATCTTACAGGAGCAAAGACATTAAATACAAACTTAATACATATTCAACTGAACAATTAACAGTCGAGTTCACTCACCATTATTTGAGACTGTTGTCAAACCCTGGTGCTGTGGAAAATAAAACAAAAATTCATCCGATTGTATTTCTGAAGAAATTAAGGTTTACTAGAGCAAACCAAAAATTAGCTAGTTAGAATATCATCTACAGATTAGCTCGGTCGTCTGCGGCTTGTTGTCTCAGTGGAGGAGACTGTGGTTCGAACTAACAAAGATTCCGTGTACTCGGGTTGATAATAAACTCCTACATTCTTATTCTAGGTTATTAATGTTATCGTTACTGAAGCCAAACCGTTTCCAAAGAGGTTTAACGTGAGAAAAAACGCTGCTCAGTTAGCGAGCTAACTCTATACAAACGGAGATGAATCAACAGAATTTTACTGACAGCAGCGATTAGTATATTTACACTCAGTCAACAGTCACAGCTGTCTGCAAGTCTTTCACTCGTGGCCCAAGAAAGAAGACAATGAATAAGACAGCGCGAAAATATAATTTTCTAAAAATTACTTAAAAAAAAAACAAGAAATACAACGTAAACCAAAACTGCTCACCACTGAAGAGCTTTCTGTTTGGCGCGTGCTAGTGACGTCACAGGGGCGCGTCATCTATGTGCACCTACTTATTGCATCTATTGTATCTAACAGAGCTAAAGAAGTGAGAAGTTCACTCCTCAGAGGCAATCGAAATCTAATAAACAGCAAGTTACGTAGAATAAACCCGATTACAAATTATGATAAAGACAACTATCAAAAACACCAGATATAAAAGTTTGAGTGAGAGAAAAGATTATTTAAAATTCAAATTCAGGGAACCAAAATGTTTAATTATAAAAATAATAACAATAATAATGAATTTTGTTTGTAAGCGCTTTTCTTGACACCCAAGGTCGCTTTACAAGAAACAAATACAGACACAGCAGACAAAAACTATACATACATAAAGAGGGAGCTAAAAAGAATAAACAGTCTTAAACAGGTGGGTTTAGAGTCTGGATTTGAAGAGAGGGAGAGAGTCAGTGTTACGGATGTCCCGTGGGAGTGAGTTCCAGAGTTTGGGAGCAGGGTGGCTGAAGGCCCTGCTCCCCATAGTGCTGAGGCGGGCGGTGGGCACTGTGAAGTGGATGGAGAATAAGAGAGCGGCTGGAAGAGACGATGTGAAGGAGATTGGACAGAGTCGGGAGGGGCCAGGTTGTGGATGCCTTGAATGTTTACAGGATTTTGAATTCGATTTGACAGGGAGCCAGTGGAGCTGCTGTAGGACGGAGGTGATGGGATGAAATGAGAAGGTTCTGGAGATGATGCGAGCAGCTAAGATCTGGACCATCTGAAGCTTATGGAGGGGTTTTTGAGGGAGACCAAAGAGTTTCTAGTATTAGTTTTAAGTGTTATCCATCCATCCATTATCTATACACCGCTTAATCCTCACTGGGGTCGTGGGGGGCTGTAGCCTATCCCAGCTGACTTTTTATTTCTGTCACTAAATTTTTTGGATTTTTCAAATCCAGCTTTACCTGATTGTAATAAATATTGACGCTAACACCTTACAGTAATATTTATTATAGACATCAACCGGACTCATTTATTACAACAATTTATCCATCCATCCATTATCTATACAACGCTTAATCCTCACTAGGGTCACGGGGGGGTGGAGCCTATCCGAACCGACTTAGGGTGAAGGCAGGGGACACCCTGGACAGGTCGCCAGTCTATCACAGGGCTACACTTAGAGACAGACAACCAAGCACACTCACATTCACACCCACGGGCAATTTAGAATCACCAGTTAACCTCAACATGTTTTTGGACTGTGGGAGGAAGCCTGAGAACCAAGAGAGAACCCACGCTGCACTGGGGGAACATACAAACTGCACACAGAAAGATCCCGGTGCCCCCACCGGGACGCGAACCAGCGACCTTTTTGCTGCAAGACAACAGTGCTACCAACTGTGCCACCTTGCAGCCCTCAACAATTTATACCCTCTAAAATTATACAAACAAATCAAAGGATTTCCAATGAATGGACTGAGGACAAGAAAAACTTTATTACAGGAAAAGACCAACAGCAGAGCCAGACAACAGGAAGGCAGACATCTGCCGTGATGGGATGGGGTGAGGGTAAAGGGAGGAGAACAGGATTGTAATGAAAAACAGCCAACTAATAAAAGATCACAAACAGTGATCAAACTTTCCATGTGTTTTGTAGCATTAGCTATTAATACAATTTTGGGCAACATGTTAAAAGTAGGGCTGCAAGGTGGAGCAGTGGTTAGCATCATTGCCTCGCAGCTAGAAGGTTGCCAGTTCACGTCCCGGTGAGGACATCTGGGATCTTTCTGCAAGGAGTTTATACGTTCTCTCCATGCAGCGTGGGTTCTCTCCAGGTTCTCCAGCTTCCTCCCACAGCCCAAAAACATGTTGAGGTTAATTGGTGATTCTAAATTGTCCGTCGGTGTAAATGTGAGTGTGCTTGGTTGTCTGTCTCTAAGTGTAGCCCTGTGATAGACTGCCAACCTGTCCAGGGTCACCCCTGACTTCACCCTGAGTCAGCTGGGATAGGCTCCAGCCCCGCCGCGACCCTAGTGAGGATTAAGCGTTGTATAGATGATGTATGGATGGACGGATGCTTGCTAAAAATATATCAGGCTATATTTGCAATTTTCATGCAAAAAATGCATATATAATAATGCATTATTAATATTGCCATTATTATTATTGGGATTTTTAAAACTTAAGCTGTTAAACTTTTGCACGTGTAAAGAGCATAGAAACAAACCCATATCCACACCAATAAATGCTATACCTGTACTTCTGAAAACATTTTGAATGAAATTGAAATGGGATGTCAGCACAAGACAGATCACAAGTTATTGTGTTTCCAGTAAATCTATGATTTCATGGTTCTTAGAAATTAAAGTACACGATGCTGCTTAACTTCCCTTTTTGGTATTATCATATTATGAAATCAGATTTTACTTCAGTTCCTCTTTCTGTGGCTGCACTGATAGAAATAATTTCACAACTGAGCCTCATTAAATAATCTAAGTCAACCAGCTATTTGTAAAAACTATGTGGCAAATTAACACAGCAGAAAAAAAAAATGAATTTTTTTTTTACAAAAAGGCAGCATCAAATATCAGTAACTAAACACATGCAGCTTATCAGAGGTTTTTCTTACTTTGCTTTCATATTTTATGTATATTTATCAAAAAAAGTAAATATAAGAAAAAGAATTTGAATTAAAATCATCAGTGTATTTTTGACCTGGCTTTGTCCAAACTGTGACAGGTTCCGTGGCATTTGCAGACAGATCCATATCTTCCACTTTCTAGATAAAGCATCCTCCTTCATCCATATCCATCATATAGTACATATTTCTTACTACAGATGCCACGTCATGCCATCAGGACAGCTTTAGTTTCCTTTAGCATTGATTCTTGACATTTCTGTAACCCTAGTGGATGGATGAACACCATTCTTTCAAAAGATATTCCCTCATTTGATGTTTTGACAATAGCACTGGAAAGCATGGACTAACACATCAGCCCAGAATCTCCCATAGGTGCTCAGCTGGTTTGAGATCTGGTGCCTGTGAAGGTCTCAGTCAGTCAGTGACCTCTCATGCTCTGTGGATCAGAGCATTGTCATCCTGGAGGAGTCCACTCCCATCACGTTAAAAATGTTTCATCATAGCATAAAGGTGGTCACTTAGACCAACTTTATATTCATTTGAAGTGACCCTTCCCTCTCGACATGTAGGCCAAAGCCATTACAGTATACCAGCACCACTGAATCCCTTCACTGTAGGGATCAAGTGCTCACATTTCTTCATGTCTATCTACTGTCAAAGTTTTGGAGTTTCCTTTTCATATCAGGCTTTAGTGACGATACAAGTCACTTCTTAGCCCAGGATCCTCTGGTATCTATCCAACATAAATGATCCTACTATTGCCAGGAATCTCATAAATTAAAAGGCCTCTAATAGTTAAATATGAACTATTTTCTCCCTTATGTTCAAGCTTTAATGGCTCACATGTCTGCAGGCTTTTTTTTTTTTTTTTTTTAATACTTCATTTATGAATTTTCGAATTCTTACAAACACAACCGAAGAAGACAAAAACAGACGTAACGCAATTAAAAGAAAAGAAAAAAAAACCCAGACAAAACACAAACAGGCAAATGGACAGGGAAAAGAAATAGACAAAAACAGAAACTGACAGTTTTCATGAAAAACAGGAGTCAAACAAGAAAGAGTCCATGTCAGGCCAAACAGTGCAGAGTCCAGAGGTTAGAAATCCGGGATGTGGGTCCTAAAGGGTGGCACCAGATAAGGTTAAGGACATCATGATTGATTCTACACTCAGCCACATAGTACAAGAGTGAATAATTTGCTGCTTGAGAACACTGAGAGGAAAAAATGAGAAAATATAATATAGACCTATTCCTCCTAATTACAAATGACCTTCTTAGTCCTAATATGGTCAATAAATGGTCCCCAGACCCTAAGGAACTTTGAGTGTGCGTTGAACATAGTATACCTTATTTCTTCAAGGTAGATACAGGAGACCATGTCATTCAGCCATCTTTTGAAGCAAGGAGGAAGAACAGATCTCCAGTCCTTCAGAATCACCCTTTTAGCTATAACCATGCCAAATGAGAGGGCTTGCTGTACGTCTGCTGGAAGTATCAAGGAGAACTTGGAACAACCCAGTATCGCTAGAAGACAGTCAGGATCTAACTGCCTGTTTTATAAGAGCTGCGCCGATCCGAGACTGGGTATTGGTATCGGGCCGATACTGGACGAAATTACAGTATCGGATGATTTACTTCACAGTGGTAACTGGCCGATCCGATACCGCCACACACACACACACAATCCTGCCTTCCGACACATCCACGTGTTCGTCTGCTCATTGGCTACAAGTTTACAGTTTCAGAGAGTGTCTGCAACCCGACTGGTCGAATCT